TAGAGATATTGCTAAGAGAAACTGTTTGAATACTTTACCTCGGAAGCGTCCCTGTGGCTATGCCCATGATAATGGCCGTTGTTCGCGGTGATTAGTCACTTTTGCGGCCAGACATAAACTCAAACTGCCCCACCGCAGCATCTCACCTCACGGCAACCACGCTCATGACAGAAAATACAATCTCTCCTTCTCACCATTCAACTTTGGAAACTTTGTTGTCATACAAACCTTTATCATCATGAACGTTGCAAATCCCCGGCGTATCCTCGCCGTCTCGCTTGCAGAGTCAAGCGACCACCTAAGCCGCGTCGTGAAAGGTAAGGCAGACTCAACCGTCCCTCTTCAAGTTGTCTTCACATCATAAGTCGACCTCGTCTGGTTCTGTTACTCAGTCATACGCCCTATGCGCCCCTCTACATCCCCAAAATACCGCCATATCACCGGCTGCCTTCGGCTTGCCAACTAGCACCTGCCTATTTTCACCTCCCTCTTTCTGTCCCTCTACCTCCTACCCTATACAACCCCCATCCCCCCAACCCCAGCTTTTATTGCCACCTCAACTAACAACCCGCAGATCTAACCGGCACCAACCCCCTCCAATCCCTTCCCTCCGTCTCAAGCTCCAACTCCCAACAACAGGAATCCTCCTCCCTAGCAGGGACGACGCACACCCTCCCCCTCTCGACGGCGTACTACAAAGCCGACATCCCCCTATGGCTGGACCTGATCTCCGACCCGGCCGAGTGGGCGGATAGTTTTTTGAGCGAGGAGGCGAGGGAGGTGCTGGAGGTTTTGGGGGGGTTGGTTGTCGTTTTCTCGTTGAAAGGTACGACGGGCACGGACACGGGTGGGGAGTTGATAAGGCAGGTCGGACGGGTTGTTAAAGAGGGACTTGGGGGGTGGGAGTGGGATGGGGTTGGGGTTGTGGTGGGCGTTGGGGATGTGGCTGGGGGAGAAGGGAGGGATGAGGGGGAGGTGCTGGATGAGTGGGAGGATATCTGTGCTGGGTTTGGGATGGAGTTTGTGCATGTCCGTACTACTACTGCACGGGAGGAGGGGAGAAATGAGTTTGGTGGTAAGGTTTTCTCCGCTCTCTTTTGTTACGGTGGGTTTGAGGGAGATGGGATGGGCTAATGCTGGACGACAGAGAAAATGGGCATCGCACGTATTCGAGAGGCGCTGGAGGCGAATGATTGGGCTCAGGCGGGTGGGTTTGATGACGGGGGAGATGGAGACGGGCCCGATGGGTTTGACGAAGAGGTTAAAGCTACGGAGGAGGATGGCCCGTCTGAGCTTAACCCCGAGGATCTAGAATTTGGCTTTGACAGGGAGGACTTTGCGGGACTGAAGAAGGCGATATGGAGTAGTGGCAGGGCAGAAGATGGGGATGAGGAAGGGGATGGAGAGACACAGGAGGATGACGATGTCCAGAAGCTGGAGGGGATGATGAAGAAGTTGCTTGCTGTTCGGGAGATGAGTGCTGGGCTACCCGAGGAGCAGAGGAGGAGGATGGCGAGTCGGGCTGTTGGGGAGGTTATGAAGGAGTTATAGTCTCGTTACAGCACTTCATGATGCTATCGAGATATGTAGCTGACTGCAGGTGTCAATGAACCAACGTACTTCAAAGAGGCAAGGTGCTGCTATGCATTTTCTGATACTGGCCACGTCCATAAGTTTGGCAATCTTCATCAATAAAATGCTATCTAAGGTAGCTGTAGTGGAGGAGTATGACAGCTTCAACTTCTTTATATGCATGTCGAGATTTGACATGAGGTAAATGAACGGAACAGCACCGATGGGCCTTCTGGCGGTTGGAGTTCAGCTCGGGCCGGACCCATGCCCGGGTTCCAGAATCGAGGGAGCTAAGGGAGCGCCACTTAAAAGATACTTTAAACACGTGCATTATTAGGCTAGAAACCAAGTATCTTAAGGTACACCATCAGTTCACCGCTCTCTGAGGTGTGGTCTGGAGCCCCCTCCCCTGGAGCCCCTCCCCCACTTTCGAGTTGGGCAAGTCATCAAATGCGACCCTTTCCCTGAAGAGGCCCTGACAAAAGGCGAATTCGCCTCGCATTCAATTACCTTACCTTTGCTTAACTCCCCCAACCCCCGACTCTGCCTTACCTTCAGCTCCCCATACCTCCTTCTGCATTTGCCGCCCGACGTCTGTCCGCTGCCGCCTGATAGCTTTGATCTTCCTCCGAACTTTGACAGTGGACCTTGGACCGACTTCACTGACGACTACGGCCCTAACCCCCTGATTACTTTGCATTCGAAAGGCCTCCGTCTGCACACATCAACTGCACGACTACGTATAGCTCAGCTTAAGCTTCTGAATCGGCGCCGCACGCATTGCTACATCTTGCTGTTATTCCGCATTCTCGGCGTTAGACTCTCCGTCTGGTCGCTGCTCAGCCGATCAAGACATCCATCATGGACACCGACCAGCCAGGCCCGCTCGACGAGCGCCGCAACCAGCAGGTCGACAATGCTATTCGCGCTATCCGCGAGAAGAGGCCCCTGCCCGAGATCGACTTCACCATCCATGTCATGGAAGATGGCACCCAAGTGAGCACAAACGAACGTGTCTGCAAAGGTTAGAAATGACGTCCCAGTCGTCCCAGTGCACCGCTGCCGCCGCGATGTCATCATGCTCTCTTGTAGAACTCCCGCTGACCTGGTTGTACTCCTGTGTCACAGACGTCCAGGCTCCCGCCATGTTCAAGCCCACCGACGAGCAGTTCTTCGAGGACGAGACGCACCAGAAACCCAACATTGCCTTCCTCAAGCAGCACTTCTACCGCGAGGGTCGCCTCACCGAGGAGCAGGCCCTATGGATCCTTAAGAAGGGAACCGAAATACTACGGTCTGAGCCCAATCTCCTCGAGATGGACGCACCCATCACCGTCTGCGGCGACGTCCACGGCCAATACTACGACTTGATGAAGCTGTTCGAAGTTGGTGGCGACCCTGCCGACACCCGCTATCTGTTCCTCGGCGACTACGTTGATAGAGGTTACTTCAGTATCGAGTGCGTGCTGTATCTCTGGTCGCTCAAGATCCACTATCCTAAGACGTTGTGGCTCCTGCGCGGAAACCACGAGTGTCGCCATCTCACCGACTACTTCACCTTCAAGCTGGAATGCAAGCACAAGTACTCCGACGTGATATACGAGGCCTGCATGGAGTCTTTCTGCAGTCTGCCTCTGGCGGCCGTCATGAACAAGCAGTTCCTGTGCATCCACGGTGGCTTGAGTCCTGAGCTGCATACGCTCGACGACATCAGGAGTGTACGTCATGATTGCTTTCCTCCCGAAGAACTTCTGTGGCTAATGTGCCTTAGATTGACCGTTTCCGCGAACCGCCAACACAAGGGTTGATGTGCGACATCCTCTGGGCCGACCCTCTGGAGGACTTTGGCCAGGAGAAGTCCAGCGACTACTTCATCCACAATCACGTGCGAGGCTGCTCATACTTCTTCTCGTACCACGCCGCCTGCGCGTTCCTGGAGAAGAACAATCTTCTCTCCATCATCCGCGCGCACGAGGCCCAGGACGCGGGCTACCGCATGTACCGCAAGACTCGCACCACCGGTTTCCCCAGTGTCATGACCATATTCTCGGCGCCGAACTACCTCGATGTCTACAACAACAAGGCCGCCGTGCTCAAGTACGAGAACAACGTCATGAACATCCGCCAGTTCAACTGCACGCCGCATCCGTACTGGCTGCCGAACTTCATGGACGTCTTCACCTGGTCGCTGCCCTTCGTCGGCGAGAAGATCACTGACATGCTGATCGCCATCCTGAGCACCTGCTCCGAGGAGGAACTTAAGGAGGACTCTGCTACGAGCCCGTCATCCGGCCCCGTCTCGCCGCCGCTCTCGTCCGCGGCCCTCAACGACCCCGACTCGATCGAGTTCAAGCGCCGCGCCATCAAGAACAAGATCCTCGCCATCGGCCGCCTGTCGCGCGTCTTCCAGGTGCTGCGCGAGGAGTCCGAACGCGTCACGGAGCTCAAGACGGTGTCGGGCGGACGCCTGCCGGCCGGCACCCTCATGCTGGGTGCCGAGGGCATCAAGAACGCGATCAGCAGCTTCGAGGACGCGCGCAAGGTCGACCTGCAGAACGAGCGGCTCCCGCCCAGCCACGAGGAGGTGGCGAGGCAGACGGCCGAGGAGAGGGAGGCGGCCCTCAAGAGGGCGACCAGGGAGGCGGACAATGACAAGAAGCTGCAGACTCTTTCCAGGCGGTTGAGCACGTGAGTAGCGCCTCTCCCCTCTCGAACAATATCTGTGACTGCCTGCTAACCATTATTTTATTCCTAGCGACCGGAAAGGGCGGTAATACATGAATTGTATAATAAACGACTGTCGACAGCAAAAGGCGCTCAAGATGGATGGATGGACTGATGGACGACTGACAACGTCTGGCTTCGTGGCCGGGGGTTGGTCAATGCAGGACTTTATGACGATTGGCTTTGGTTGCTTCCATGTTTCGCGAACTGTCGTTGCTTCATCTCAATGCAGCAGCAATGAAAACATCTCTAGTGACTACTATTGTTTCTAAATTCTAATGTAAAAGTGCACATGTTGAGTATTCAGCTCTGGAGACGGCTTCAAACCTGGAAGTCAATGATTGACACCTGCGATTGACAATCTGCAAATACAAGCTGTAATACGAGACGTGAGACTAAACTGCGAACTCGAGCAATGTCAATAAGATACCTATCTCTCCATGGTAATCTGCATACACGTAAGAGTCCAACTGGTAGAAAACTGTAAGAATATTGTTGACACAGATCTCGAGCGAAGTTTGTGGTGCTCTACCTCAGGTCCTTCCTCCTGTAGAAATTTGGCGGGTCGCACCTTCCCGAACACCTACTTCACAAAGACTGTTAACGTTGCTCCTTCCATCAAAGCCACAATGGCTCCACAGGTCGCACCTCCCCGCTCCTCCCACTGGCTCAATCTTTGGCAGGTGCGGGCGGTTGTCCCACCAGGCTCAATGGTCTAGTCGTATGATTCCTGCTTTGGGTATGCTTTCACACAACTGCAGGAGGTCCCGGGTTCAAATCCCGGTTGAGCCCTATCTTTTGTGCTTTCACACAACTGCAGGAGGTCCCGGGTTCAAATCCCGGTTGAGCCCTATCTTTTGCTTCTTTGGAGCTTTCTTTTTGCTGAATTGGCTCGGAGACAACAGTCTGGGATGCATTTGTTTCTGCTGCGGGTCCGCGCGAGACTGTATGCGAGGACGCGTACGATGGGTGGTGGGTGAGGGTTGGTCATGCGAGTAGAGGGCTAGTCAGCGACGCAAGTCGAGCTTCCCTTTTGGAAGCAGCCCCGTCGGCTCTTGGCAAATCTCCAAATGCGGCGGGCCGGCGCCGGCGTGGAGACCGTTGACGCCATTTCTGTCGTCGTCGATATAAGGCGGGGCTAGTGCTTTCTATCTTCTTCGCGCGCCGCCGGGTTTTCGAGAGCCGAAGGATGACAGACTAAGGTAACTGTCATGGACTACATATGGGACGCTAAATTAAATCCGTTGTAAAGGCGAATGAAACATCGATAAGGAAGGGTGTTGCGGGATCGGAACTTTTTTTATAATCTTTTATTCTTTTTATTCGAGCAGTTTTGTCCCTGTCAGATCTTCCAACCTTCCTGGTCTCCGTCTCCGGTCCAAGTTTTGCTGCTTGTCAGACCAGTCACCGTCTGTACAACACCGGAAGAAAAAGTGCAAAACGTATTCGGTCCGCTCCGACTTACACATCTGCCACACAATGGCGCAACAAGCCACCATCGCCGACCCAGAGCGGAACGGGAACGGCGCGTCTCACGCTGCCCCCCGTCCCAGCGACGAGAGGACTCCCCTCCTCTCGGGCAGCGGCGGAGCAGCAGCAGCAGCAAACGGGAAGAAGCCCGTCCCGGGCTCCTCCTCCGCCGCCTCCTCCACAACAGAAGACGGCGAGGCCGTCATCCTCGCCGCGCCCGAGTCCACCACCCGGCTGTGGCTCATCCTCGGCACCGCCTACGTGGGCGTCTTCTTCGGCGCCGTGGACGCGAGCATCATGGCCACGCTCGCGGGGCCCATCAGCAGCGAGTTCCGCTCGCTGTCGCTCATCTCGTGGCTCGCGACGGCCTACCTTATCGCCAACGCCGCGTGCCAGCCGCTGAGCGGCCGGCTGACGGACATCTTCGGCCGCGGCAACGGCTTGGTGTTCAGCAACGTCATGTTCGCGATCGGGAACGCGATATGCGGGTTCAGCCAGGGGGAAGGGACGATGATTTTTGGAAGGGTGGTGGCGGGTATCGGTGGCGGCGGGCTGATGAGCATCTCGACCTTTTTGGCGAGCGATCTTGTGCCGTTGAGGAAGAGGGGGATTGTGCAGGGGTTGGGCAATATCGCTTATGGGTTAGTGATGAATGTTCAGTTCTTGGAGATGAAGAGTTGTACTGACATGCTGAACAGATCCGGCGCCATGCTCGGCGGCGTCTTCGGCGGCTTCATCAACGACACCTCCTCCTACGGCTGGCGGCTCGCCTTCCTCGCCCAGGTGCCCGTCGTCGTCGTCTCCGCCGTCCTCGTCTTCTTCCTCGTCAAGGTCCCGCCCAAGGTCTCCAACAAGTCCCTCGTGTCTCGCATCGACTTCACAGGAGCCTTCCTCATCATCGCCTTCCTCGTCACCCTCCTGCTCGGCCTCAACGCGGGCGGCAACCTCGTACCCTGGACGCACCCGCTCGTGCTGACGAGCATCCCCGCCTCGGTCGTGCTGCTATTCACCTTGGTCTGGTGGGAGGCCGACCGGGCGGCGCAGCCCATCATCCCCGTTCGCCTGCTCGCCGACCGCACCGTCTTGGCGGCCTGCGTCACGAACCTCGTGTGCACGATGGTCGTTATGATGGCCATCTTCTACGTGCCGCTGTACATGCAGGTGCTTGGCTACTCCGCCACGCAGGCGGCGCTGCGCATCCTCGCCTCGCCGCTGGGCGTGTGCTTCTTCTCCGTCGGGTCGGGGTACGTCATGAAGAAGACGGGGCGGTATGTCGGCCTCGGCGTTGCCGTGGTGGTGATGCAGCTGTCTGGCGTTGTAGTGCTTACGATGCTCGACGAGCATACGTCGCCGTGGCTGCCGTTCTTGGGCATGATGCTCAATGGCGGTGGGTATGGAGGCATGCTGACTGTCACGCTGCTGGCGTGTATCGCTGCCGTGGACCATGCGCATCAGGCGGTTATCACTTCTGCGACGTACGCTTTCCGCAGTGTGGGCGCGACGTTGGGTATTACGATTGCGTCGACTGTGTATCAGAATATCCTTAAGACGAAGTTGTGGGAGCGGTTTGGTGATATTGATGGTGCCGCGGAGGTGATTGCCAGGATTAGAGATGACCTGGACGAACTGAAGCATCTCCCCGAGGGCTGGCATGATGGTGTCCTTGCGTCGTTCATGGAGGCGTTTAGGGGTGTTTGGCTGACTGCCCTGGGGCTGATGGTGCTTGGACTGGTGTTTACTTCGCTGATGAAGCAGCATAAGCTTCATTCGAACTTGGAGAGGCAGGATGATGACGAGTAGTAAATGATTGGTGGAGGTCAGGGACTGTTGAGATCTGGGTGGATGTGAGTTCAGGGCAATAAGGGGTGGTGTATCTGTGTTGGGTTTAGAGAATATTTGGATATGAAGCCCGAGAGTAATAGATAGGCACATATTGGACAACAAAAACGATTTAGCTCCAGGTGGTTCTTCTTGTGGTTGCGGCAATAGTTTGCAACACCTCCCATGGTCTAAGTGCTGACCGTCGACACATTAGAGATATTCTTTCACACCTGACCGGCTTGAGACATTCCATGACAACGAAGGTACTCTTACCCATTGTCGTTTGAGCATTTCTTGTTGAAAGCAGAGCAAGATCGAACATCCCCAGGTACGTGTACCTCACCTCTAACCCCCGTCCATACTCTCTTCCGTGAGTGGCCTGTGTGACATTGTCGTTCTCCGCACGCGGGTCAGCCAGGTGGCTGGTCAACTGGCGAATTTCCCAATGTTTGTTGTCTATCCTCTGACCTTTCCCAGTTTTCAAACCTTCTTCGCTCCTTCATATCATCAACCCGAACAGCAAAGGGCGGTTTCCAGACCGGACATCCAACAGATCAAGATGCCCGAACCAACCGGACATCAAGGGACCAAGATGCGCGAACCAACCGAGGAAGAGATGAAGGAGATGGAGAGGCTGTTTCTCCGGAGCATGACCATCCCCAGGGCCATGGCTATCAGGCAGCACGAGAGCGCCGTTTATGCTAGCATCGTCGAGTATCAACAGGCCAGGAACGCCGAGGCTAGCAGGCCACCGGCGAGTACCGCTCAGACGAGCAACAGCCAGGTAAGGGAGACCCAGATCAACGACCGTACTGAAAATAGTGGAGGCGTACCTAACGGTGGCCAGACCGACGCGGGCCAGACCCACGCAAGCGAGGCCAACGGCGTCCCGGTCATCGAAATCCAGGACTATGATGCCGCTCAGGTCGCCAACACCCAGATTGATCAAGGCCAGGCCAACGAAGGCAAAGGCAACGGTAACGGAATCGCGACCATGGAAGTCGACAACGACAGCCCGAATCAAGTCGAGGACGATGACTGCATGGAGATCGATCCTCCCCGACGTGTTCGGCCCATTCACTACCTCCAACTCACCCCAATCGACCACACCGTCTCCCGCGACTACACCCATGTGTACCTCTGCTTTCCCTTCGATGGCGACGAGGAAATGGCGTACGCGGCCTACCAGCACCTCGGAGCCGCCTATCGGTTCGCCCTCGCCCCTTGGCCATTCCTAGCCGGAGAGGTCATCAACTCCGACCCTCAAGATCCAGGCATCCTGCAGGTCAAGTACCACTCCTCGGTCGAGGCTGAGGACCTCGATCGGTGCATGGGGAAGAAGGTCATATTCGGCGAGCTGGACTGGAAGTACGAGCAGCTGACTAGATGGGGAGCGCCGCCGGAGTGGTTCGTTAAGGCTTTCGGGTCTTTCCCTGCTGGCTCTGACGAACCGTCAGATGGATGCCCTGCCTCGGCTCTGAGGCTCACGTATGTCCATGGAGGGCTGATCGTTGGCTTCGCCTTCCACCGTGCAGTTGTGGATGGCTGTTCGATCAGGCAGTTCCTCCATGCCTTTGCCGCAGGCACTATCAAGGGGAAGAAGCAGTGGAAGTTTGACCTGAGCAACAGTAAGCGTATTATCTGCCCGGCTCTGGTGTACCTTGTGATAATCCTAACGCGACACTTCTCAATCATTTAGGGGTCCAAGACCGATATAAGATGCTAGACTTCTTCTTGCCAAAGAAGGGATACTCCGAGTCCGACTTTGTCAAGGGGAAAGGCAAGGCTCTCTCCAAGGGATATGATCCTCTCCATCATTGCGAGGAGTACGACATGACACCGGTCCCTGAGCCGACAGTGTCTCCTGAGCCGACCACGGCACCTACCCCAGCAGCCCTCGAGCCGATCCTGGTCGGTGGCAAGATATTCATTCCCGACGTGCCAGATAATTATGAGCCGAGGGACGATACCTTGCCGCCCAAGCCCTACACCCACGTCGTACTCGAGTTCAAGAACGTCATCGTCAGGCAGCTCCACAGCCGCGTCAAGTACTTCCTCGAGGAAATCGACTCCCCTTACGAGGTCTCGCGCGTGGAGTGCTTCTGTGGCCTCCTCTGGGTAGCCATCATGCGCGCGCGCGCTCATCGGCTGCCCAAGGATACCGTTGTCAGGTTCACGACCGCGGTGGATGCCCGTAACCGTGTCGGCAGGGCTGTGAAGGAGGATTGGCTTCCCCTCTGGTACATGGGCAACTTCTCTGTGGCTGCCGTGGCCAAGACTACCCTTGGTAACCTCATAGGCGACGAGGAGCATCGGGTGTTATCTATGACTGGGAAGTAAGTGTACCGAATTTTCCATCTTCTCTTCCATCTTCACTTCACGTCGAAGCAAACGGTGCTGACGTTCTTACCCCGGCAGCAAGCGCAAACCGATGTGGAAGCCCAAGATCCACGAAGTCCTCGGCATCCGCAACGACATCACCATAGAAGCCGTCGCCAACG